ATTCCTGCTCCAGTACTATCCTTGACCACTTTACCTTCTTGCTTATTCAATTTGCATGCTTGTACTAATAGCAAATGGTACCCTTCAGAAAACCCATATCGATCCTTGCCAATCTTCGGTTCCCAAATCTATAAAGTGTCATTAAACTTGCCAAACTTTCTCTCTCTCCACACAAGGCCTACAATTTCCTTATCCTCTCTACCAGCCATCCCTGACAAAACAAGTATCCCAATACCACCTTCTTCTTAGCCTGTCCTACTTCTGGGGGCACCTTGGAACTTCTAGAGAGACCCAAAAAGAAAGTTTTACTAAAAGAAACAACATAGGCCTTTAAAAAAAAAAAATAAAAAATTGCTGAAGACAGTAAATACTTTATTATTTACATGCAAACTATCTTCTGGCTACTCAGTACTTCAAAAAACCCCACAAACCAGCTGCATGCAGGTGGGCAAGACACTAACAATAAAGTCCATTTTCACAGATCACAGCAAGAAGCTGTAGCATGATAATGTATATAGGCCTTCATTTTGTGATTCTGTGAAATGAATCCTCAATAGAAGCAGAGGCATGTAACAAGAGACACTCAAAAAGGAGAAAAAACTGAGAAAAAGGCTTCTCAAGTCAGACTGGGACTGCATCATAAGGCATGAAGAATGTGAGTGACAAGAGACTGAAAAATGCTTCTAAAGATATCTTAGAATGGCCTCCAAATCAACAATAATGCCAAATATATTAACTACGTAACTACATAAAAAAGAATATCTGAAGAGCTAATAAAGTAACATACCAAGGTCACCAAGACCAGATGTTCCAAGTTACCCAGACTTTCTCTAGCACAATTTTTTTAATCCCATGATGCTACTGTCCAGTTAACACTTTCTGTCAGGGAAAGGAAGGTAGTTATAGTTTCAACACAGTAACTACATACAAATATCTAGAAACCAAGCGTATCACACCTCCGAGCCATCCTCCCAACAATCCCCACTAGAAACCTCCTCGCAAAACTAGCATAACTAGCAATTGTTCTTCTGGTATTTCCAGATGACTAAGAATTAACAAGTAGAGACTTCGTGTACTAATTCAGCGGCAAGGGCTTATCTAAAATTCAAATTATTTTCTAAGAGGATGTGAGGATGTTTCTGTCATGGACATTACCATAATACAATCAACCAAGAACCACTGACTATGGGTCAAATGACTTGTGTTAAAGACTGATCTATTTAGCATGGCAAAAGTTACTCACCCATGCAGAAAACAGTGTCAATCAAATTGTTATGAGAAATAAAAAAAAAATCAGAGGGAAATTTAAAGACTCATAAGATTCCTTCCTTCACTTCTTACTCTACAGTTTCTATTCGAGAGTAACCATCTAAATCATTGTTCTATAGCCAGCTACAATGTCACAAAAACACCCTAGAGTCTTACAAGATTTCAGAGATAGAACAGTTTACTCACTGAACTGACAATACAAATAATTTGCTTGAGTACACATTGTGTGAAGTTTTAAAAAGACACCCAGCAACTGAGAAAACAATAGGGAAAGTTTTTCTCAAATTAAAAGCATACCTAACTTTATACATAGTTATTTACAACTGGGTTAAAGCAGTTTGCTCTTTCACTTGCATGTTAATCATGGTGTTACTCTAGACATACATACAAGTGAGAAATTTCAGTTCTTTCAACTTCCAAAATATGGAAACTTCAGCGCGGCTTCCTACCTATGTGAACATTGCAGCTTTAAGCAACTATCGAACTCATCCGCCAGCTTCTGTCCAAAAGAATTAACACCATCTTCTGTAAATTATCTTTACATATTTGGTAACACTCAAGATCTGAAAGTACTTGTGGCGGGAGTGGGGATGTGTGGAATGACAGGAATAAAATGGGGAAATGTATTATATGCTGCCATTATGATGTACTGCGTTCCATCACACTTTTTGCCCAGTCTCACCCTACAATGTAGCTAACTCATATCAGAAGAGATCTTTCAAGATGTCTGGATTATTCAGCAAAAACTAACCAAGAACAGAACAAATACCAGAACTATTTACCAGATAGTTTCAAACACTTCAGCTATGAAGATATATCTTTATATTTGTAAAAGTGGGATAAAATTGAGCTTGAGATTTAAGAGTAGCCCAACAGCCATTTGGTACCTACATGAAATGAATTGGTGGCCTCAGTTCAGTTATCCTGGAGGTCTTATCTACTCGAGTGTAGAGTACTGAAGGTAACATGTGTGATAAAGAAAATAGACTTTGTGGATTCTATTCTAGATTTCAGACATGTGAACGGGTATTTCCTATAAGTCTTGTAATATCAGCTAGTGTGAAGTAGCTGATTTTACAATATACTTTAAATTGTACATAATTTTTCAAATCTGAGCTTTAATAAGAGAGATATACTCAGATACAGCACATATCATTAAGTTATGGAATAATACTTTGGCCTTTATGTTTAAAGATTACAATCACATTATAAATTCAGTAGAGTTTCAATATACTATGAAGTTGTATCAGCTGGATTCCTAGGCAGCCTCTCTTCAAATTACACATAATTAAGAAAAAGTAATTTAGAAATCATCTAAGATTACACCATTACAAAAACAGTACAATCAGCTCTTTATCTCACTATTAAGCCAACCATTGCAAACACCAGTTGTACTGAAACCTGTACTTAGCACTTTCAGAACAGTGACATTCCTTTGTTTTCCTATCACCA